ATGTGTGACTTCTACTCTTAGAACCTCTCACTCAATGTAAAAGCTGAGCGTATAGTTTTGTTTTACTTGTTACACGTAGGTAACATGAATGATTAATAAGGAAACAATCTTGGAGGGCAGCGAGGGCAAAGAGATGGATGGATGCTGGTGAGGAATTTGTTTAATTAAAAAATATTTGAATTTATTATGTTTTCAGGCAAGAACCCAAAGTTTTATTTTGATTTAGGTACTCAAGCTTCCACACCGTTTGGTTCACTCTGATGGATATTTAAATAATGTTTTTAATGAATTATTTTAAGTTGTTTTGAAAATTATTATTTTTGGATGCCAATTTAGTGACAACCCAATCCGTTGGTCTACGTATTCGGGTACGCAGGTCGGGGTGTTACAAAACCAAGATAAGTAAATATCAAAACCACAATTAGCCCTAAAAATTATAAAATATTGCTCATATATGGGCACCGCTAGACTATTTCTAAATAAATAATAATACTCTCTTCCTCCCTCAGTTTTTGTCCATTTTGGTTTTGGCACCAAAACCAATGTGGAGGGCAAAGTGACATATCTACCCCTTGATTTGCCCTTCCCGATCAATTCCCCCCTCTGCTTCAATGTCTCCTATCCAATCCCTTTTCCGCCCATGCCTCGCAGGCCTTTTCCCTCCGCTGCCTAAACCTTGCCAGCCGGTTCCCATCGTGGGTTCAACCTCGCCAGCTCATTGCCAGACACCCTACTCCAATCTAGATATATCATGTTTAATCTTCTACATTGCTTCATAAACCAAATTCAAAGAGAAATCAGAAGATCGGAGGAAAGAGGCAAATCTATGAATGCCAAGAAATTAGAGGACCCATCCCAGGCATCACAATGAAAAGGATAACGCACAAACATCTCTAAAATTTAACAAAACATTTTAGAAAAGGATATCTAAATTTGGAGAAACTGTCAAGCCATTGAAGACATCCAACCCCCATCAATCTCAAGCCTTCATCAGAGCAAACATCCTACTTTGGCTCATCTTCAGAGAAGAGATCCATCTGTATTTTAACGCTCTGATTCTAGGGAGGCATTTGGCAAGGTGAAAGAGACACGGGAGGGGAAGCTCCTCCATAGCAAAAAATTCCACCTCCGCTTGCGATGACAGTGACAAACATCTTTTCAGATTCCCATTTGGGATTATCGTTGATGGCTATTGAGGTTGAATCTTAACTCTTTGTAAAGGAGAGATAAGAGGGGGGTGGAGGGAGTACAAAGTACTATTGTACGGAGTAATATTTAGAACACAGTAATATTTATGAGTAGATACAGTATAATATATTCATAGAGTGCTTTTATTGATGAGATATTAATACAATCATAAAAATAAGGAAAAACGTGTTCTTTTGTCATTAGCCAAGGTGTTCTTTTGGCTAATGCCAAAAACTCTAGAAGAAAAAAGGTAAAAGATTATACCTTGTAAATTTCTTAAGTATTTTAAGGAGAGAGTCTTAATGTCTTTTTTAATTTGAAGTTGATGTAAATAAATTTAGAAACTAATTTTGTTCTAATGGTGTAATGCCGTGAAACCCGACCTATTAAAATTAATTAATTCATAATAATTAATTAATTATTGAGACGGGTCCGATATTTATTTAAGTATGATTTAATAAAGTATAAAGTTATACCATCGTGTAGGGTTCAATGAGACGAATCCAATAGTGAAAACAGATCTGAATTCGGAGCAAGCTAGCCTGAAAAGGATATTTTAACCGAGGTGTTTTATTTAATTATAGAGTTGAACTGGGGTGGGGGATTTAGGGAGAGGGTTAGAAGGGACAAAACTATCAATTTTGTAAAGGAAGTATTAGAGGAGTTTTAAAAGAGTGAGTGTCATTCGTTGCCACTGGATACCGGTGTCAATAGAATCTTGCCACTAAAACTATAAGTTAAAAAATAAAGTAAAAAGCATACTGCATAGTGCATACCATATAATATACTGCCAATTATTTTTTTCTTTTTACAATCTTAATTAAAAGGGTGTTTCTAAATTCACCCCAAATTTGGCTATATCCACCCCATTTGTTACAAATGTACAAATTTACCCCAGAAAATGTAACTATAAACATACATTTAGGCAGCTAAACCTTCACGTTACTGCCCCTTTTACACGTACGATCTCTCTCTTTCTCTCTCTCTGTCTCATAACTCTCTCCCTTTGTTTGTGATCTACACACGTAGAAGAAGAAGAAGAAGAAGAAGAATAAGGAAAAGAAGAAGAAAAAGAAGAACAAGAAGAAAAAGAAGAACAAGAATGAGAAGAGGAAGGGAAGAAGAGGAAGGAGAATCCCTCATCGTTCACCGCTATTCGTTAGTTCAATCTTTTGTAGTTTCTCCCGACGAACTCGAGGTGAGTACGCGGACATCTAACGCTAGGTTATGTCTATTGATTTTAATATTACGATCGTAGGATCGTTATGATTGATTTACGTGAAAATATAGTTGTGATAGTTTTGTCTTGGATTATTGATAGTTCTATTGGTTTGAACACATGAGTAGTAATGGTTCGATCATAGTAAGATTGGATTTAGTTAGGAATTGAGTTATGAATATATTCATGTTAGATTTTCTGAGTTGAATGTTGGTTGATGTTCAAAAATTGAACTGGTGCAAAAACAGGGAAGTTTCACGCCAGACGGTAGGCGATACCGTCATGGCCGGTACCGTGCTCCCGTCACAGGCCATCTGGTTCTGCCAGAACCTGCGACTATTCGGGACCTAGGTGCCGGACACGACAGTCTTCCTTCAAAAATTATGGTTTATTTCAATATAATATCTTCATATTATAATTTAATTTTATGCAATTTATAATATACTCAAAGGAATAGGTTACTTGGTTTCACCAAGGAATATCATTACTCCGAATATTTTAGTCATCTTACACAGTTATAATAAAAACAATGTAAAACACAAATACATGTTTTGTTATACATTAATAAGACGAAAATTACTATTATCTCATGCCTCAAACATGTAATACTAAAATTACATATTCTTAAAATCAAGAAGAGCAGAATACATGTGTATTGGAAGCCTAGGCTCAATAATAACTGAAAGAGGGAACTTTTTCAGGGTTGAAAGGGCAAAGATCTCTTCCATGTTCAAGCCATTAGGTGTCATACCACCGGGTAAGGTCCATTTGAAGCCATGCAAGAGGTTAGCTAAGCTGGCTTGAATGACCTTAAGGCCAAGACTATACCCAGGGCAAATTCTTCTCCCTGCACCAAATGGCAATAGTTCAAAGTCTCCGCCCTTAACATCAATTTCCTTTCCGATGAACCTGTCACGGACAAACTCATTGGGGTTTTCCCACAATGTAGGGTCCTTACCGATGGTCCACACATTCACTAAGACTCGAGTGCCTTTGGGAACATCATAGCCAGCAACCTTAGTGTCCTCACGGCATTAGCGCGGAAGCAACAAAGGTGCCACGGGGTGCAATCTCATTACCTCTTTTACTATTGCTTGGATGTAAGGGAGATTTGGAATGTCCTTCTCTTCTATCCATCGCTCTTGCCCTATCACACGATCTAGTTCTTCGATTGCTTTCTTCATTGTTTATGGCTTCTTAAGGAGCACTGACATCGCCCATTCCACAGTCACTGAAGAGCTCTCCGTCCCACCAGTCACAATGTCCTGCATTTAGGCATGCAAGGAGTAAAAAATTCGTGTAATAAATTGCCTATTTCCCTAAAAAAATTCCTCTTTCATTCTTCACTTGTCCCAGAAAACTTTTCCCTTTGGTCTAAATGGATATAAATATATTTTATTTTTCAAATATAACCATACATATCCTAACTTCCATCTATGCCCTCCCTATTTTGATATTTCTCAAACCCTAATCGTATTAATTTATCACCATTTATCCATGCTCAAATGTCTACATCTTTCACTCTCAATAGTCAAAACAAGAAATGTTGTAAGGGAAGGAGGAAGTTTATGGTAATACTACAATATTATGAGAAGTATTTTTTGACCATTTCCTAAATTCGAAGTACTAGTTTTGAAAGAATACCAGTGTGAAGGCCTTGACACCATCCCTTTCGAGCTTCACTTCTTTACTAGGATCAACTACGAGTTGGAGCAAAACATCCACCATGTCCATAGCCACGAATCTCTCACCCTCGGCCACCATTCGATCAATGTGGTCATCAAGAACATGCTCTAGAAACCTGTCAAATTTCTTGCTCAGAGTCTTCATCTTCTTGATATTCCCTTGCACGTCCATGAAAGCGATCCACGGGATTGAATCACCGATATCTAGAACCCCATTGAGCAAGAACAACTCATCTAACATCTTCTTGAATTCGTTAGGACTCAAAATGTTATTATTCTGTTGTAGGTAATTCTTCCCCAACACCATTCGGCTAATGACATTTAGGCTTAGAGTGGACAAGTAGTCTTTGAGGATTATTATTGCCTGCCCAGAAGACAATGACGAGGACTTGAGGTAAAGTTGGGAGATTATGGATTTCAACTCCTCTGACCGGATGTACTCGTAAGAGTCTAGTCGCTTTACGCTGAAGAGCTCCATGACGCACATCCGTCGTGCTTGCCGCCAGTAAGGGCCGTACGACGACCAAGCAATATTAGAGTTGTTGTACGTTGTGTATTTTCCTGCAGCAGTTTTAGGCCTCATACATTCGATTTTTTGGGTTATATTCCAGAAAAATAAAATTATGTGGTTGAAAGTGATGCATAATAAAGGGAAAGATGATGATTGCAAAAAATTTAACAAATACAAAGAGGAATTTTTTTTCAGTACGTCTGGAAAATTAAAGGGATTGAGTTTTTTCTTCTTTCTGGTCAGAGAGAGTATTATATGATATAATTTTGGAGGGTATGGACAAATGGATTGGGTAATAAGACACTTGGGTTGAACCACATTAAAAGATTGAATCCAATCGATTAGTTAGTTCAACTCAAGAGCTTATATACAGATTATTTTGCTCTTGAACATCTAATGTGGGATGACACTCTAACACTCCCCCTCAAGTGGACAACCGGGCCATTTTGAATCTAACCAGTTGACCACTTGCAAATGAACTCCCATTCCCTTGACTTTTTTTAGCGCCAACACCTAAAGGACAACGAGCCGCTAGGTGTGGACTTCTAGACGAGCAATCGTGTTAAACGGGCCACAGGCCGTTAGGTACATACTCCATACGGACAACTGGGCTAAAGACTAACGGGCCGCTATGAATGAACGTCTAGACGGATACCTTGACAAACGAGGTGGGCTAAAACCTGCTCCGATACCATAATAGAATTTTGGAGGGTATGGACAACTGCATTGGGTAATAAGACACTTGAGTTGAACCACATTAAAAGATTGAATTCAATCGATTAATTAGTTCCACTCAAGAGTTTATATACCGATTATTTTGCTTTTGAACTTCCGATGTGGGATGACACTGTAACATTATATAAGAAATATTCCCAATGTTTGCCACGTTAGCTATTCGTTTTGCATTATTATATGGGCAATGATAGGGGTACACTAACATGAGGTACCTCATTTGTACACCAAACTAATAACACAGACACGCACAGACACATAATCGCTTTGCAGGCACATACATTATGTGCCTGTGTGTGTCTGTATTAGTTTGGTGTACAAATGGGGTACCTTATATAAGTGTATCATCGGTTAATTCATTTTATATACTCCCAAGTCCGGAGTCGGGGTATTCATTTATTTCCAAATGCATTATTCTATTCATTTAATTAAAAGAATGATATTTTACAAGCATAATTTCCAACATGGAACAAAGACTAACACTACTCGTACGGTAAAACCCAACAAATTCTCAAAAGAAATTCTTTTTGAATTTATTTGGAAAAACTTCCGTCATCAATCTAACAAATTTTCTATTTTATTCTCAAATTTAATAAATTTATTTTAAAATTAATTTTAGTTGAAATGAATTGAAAAAATAAAAAAGCTAGGAATATCTCAAGTTTGTACCCAACTTGCACACCAAGTTATTACAGACACACAGACAATAACAATTGTATGTGTATCATAGGGACAACAATTATTTGTGCGGTGCACAAACAACAATTGTTTGTACACTGCATAGAAAATAATTGTTTGTGTACCACACCGACAATATTTATTTGTGTGTGTCTGTGATACACTTGGTTTAGAAATTAGGGTACAAACTTGATGTATCAATACTCCACAGCACACCTTTTTAAAAAATCATGAGATTTTTATTCATTTTGTGGAAAGCAGCATCGAATGTGACTATCCATTTTGACTTGTGAAATGGAGGAAATACTCCCTATAATAATTTTAAGGTAGAATTATTTGAAATAGTCCTACTTCGTGTTATTTCAAAAACAATTTTTTTATCAGTCATGCGTAATGATCCCACCTTTCCGTATGTGTGTGAGTATTTATATATATATATATATATATATATATATATATATATATATATATATATATATATATATATATATATATAGACACACACACACACACATATATATGGAAATGGAGAAGTTAGAGAGAAGGAAGAGCTTTCCGGCCTCCCTTCCAGCCATATTTCCGGCAGGCAGTAAGCTCCCAGAGAAGAACCAGTCCCCCAGATTTGTCAAACACTTTTCAGACCTTTTTAAGCAATCTAACACCCAAGCAGTTGGAAAAGTTGAAGGCTTTTATAACTCATGCCCATCAGTGAGTTTCAGTCAAGAGGTAGAGATGCATTTGGCCAGTAAAATGCATCACTCTGCTCTGGGCAGGTTCAAAAGGGAGGTACACCTCGCACATCTAAAGGATCTCCTTATTAAAATGGGGTTCAAGGCTTTCAAAATAAGGAGAATCAACATGGTCGATGTCCTTTTTACTTTCAAAGAAGAGAATGACTACCTACGATTCCTTCTTAGAAAAACTTGGTATGTTCATAATACCCCCTTCTATGTTTTTAAATGGAGTACTGAATACAAATTTACTGAGGATTGTCCCATTTATCCTGTTTGGGTCTCTTTTGAAAAGCTCCCTCTTCACCTCATAGACTTCCAATCTCTTTTCACGATTAGTTTATTATTGGGGAGACCTGTAAAAATGGATGATTTCACAGTCAGTAGAGATAGGAGGGAAAGTGCAAGGGTGCGTATTGAGATAGATTTATCCATCCCCCCTCCCTCCAAAATTCACATCAGACTTGGTAAATCTTGGTCACAAGCATGATTTTCATGCTCTAAACCAACACCATTTACCCACCGGAAAAGCTCCCTCCGACAAGGGTAAGACGGGCATATCTCCTGAGTATCAGAATGGATGGGTGGAAATCAAGAGCAAAAAGACAAATGGAAAAAGGGCACCCAATCAATCAGAACACAATAATAATATAGTCAGACAGGGCCCCACCATATTTGAATGGAAAAAGAAAGGTTATGTGAACCTAAACACCAATAATTTCATGTTGCTGGACCTACTGGATAATTATGCTGGAGAATTATCATGTAATGTGGAGAGTGAATTATTGGGTGACAATCTTAATCCCTCCGACTCCCCACTGCAAGAGTTCAACCCAATTTTTCCATCCCTTTCTGAAGCAAAAGCCTTTGCTACCAAAAAAATGCCTGTTACTTCCAAAACTACAGTTAGTACTGGAATGGCAAAAGATCAGTCAAGGAAAGGTTCCTTTG